AATGTAGTCAGTGAATAATTAGCTCTTTGAAGATCTTCCTAGCATTTAAACAATCTTCCATTTTCTTTTTGTAACTTCAACACTGAAATTAAGAGGAAGACTGCATTAGATGTGACACAATTTAGATTTAATATGATCTGAGATAATATAAACTAAATCACCTGAATTCATGTCCTCAGCCCCCTTTTCTTTCTAAGCAGGGACCCCATCAGCTGGACAAAGATAATATGAAAGAATTCCAGGAATTACATACTATATGTTAGTAAACCTAGGCAGAATGCAGTTACAGATTTTCATGTAGAAGAATGACTCTCCTTTTAGACCTTGTTTGGGTTTTGTTTTCTCCCAGTTATTAGTGACAAATATTGACACCTTACCAGTAAAAAGGAAAGTCTTAAAGAACCTCCACCATCACATCTTCCTCAGCAGGCCTTGTTTCACTCTTGAGCTGTTGTCCCCCTCCCTTCCAAGTTTAGGGTAGTTAAGGTGGCCAAAGTGCTTCCCAGGTGGCACAGTGGTAAAAAAAAAATCTGCCTCCAAATGCAGGAGGCACAAGAGACATGGGTTTGATCCCTGGTTCAGGAAGATCCGCTGGCATAGGAAATGGCAATCCACTCCAGTGTTCTTGCCTGGAAAGCTCCATGGACAGAGGAATCCTGACGGGCTACCATCCATGGGGTCACAAAGAGTCAGACATGACTGAGCACACAGCCAAGGCAGTCAAAATAGGCGCTTAAGATCTGGGCTGAGGTTGGATGGTGATGATCAACTAGATGCATTTGTTATGTGACGTGAAGTAAGGGCACAGGGCAAAGAGGGAAGAATGGAGACAAGCTAATTGCTGTAAATTACTGTAATTATTAACCCATTAATAGAATAATTCCTAAACCTAGAACTTCTTGGGAGTTCCCTTTGTAAGAATTCTACCAAAGATGCCAGTGTAGCACCTACTGAATCAGTGATTTTCAAAGATAATTTGAAGTATAATTTATATATTACAAGAAAGAAAACACTGAAGTGAACATAGCTCATGGGATGTTTGGGGACTGATTTTGTTTAATTTGGGGCTATTTATGAGTAGTATGGTTACTTTTTCTTCCTGATTTTAGCTTAACTCTCGTTAAGGACAATGCCAATTAAATATTCTAAAATATTGATGGCTAATACCCTGACTAAAAGTGTAGTGCTGCCAGTCTAGAGCACACACATTTAATTTCGTTTCCATTATTCTTCGTTATATGTATTTGATATGTATATACATATCTTTTATGACTTATGAATTTAAAAATTTGTATTCTCTGTGGTGTGTTTTTAATGGCACAGTTATTCACCCACACAGATATTAAGGGCCCACTTGTGCTTTCCCTTTGCTCAATGCCAATGACTTAGGAAGAAATACATTCTGGTTTTACAGTTGAGGGGGATAGAGGTGGGCAAAAATATGACAAATTTGAATGAAGATGCTCTAGAGAGAGGCAAAATAGAACCAGTACACACAAGGAAGAAGTGGAGGAAAATCAAGAAGAACTTTGGAGAAGATGAATTTTGAGCTGAGCTTTGAAGGTATTCAGGTTTTCCTAGGAAAGCAAGCAAAAAAAGAGGGGGCTCAAGGCCTGAGAAAAAGCAGAAGCTGATGTACAGAGGAAAATGTCAATTTTCATTCCAATCCCAAAGAAGAACAATGCCAAAGAATGTTTGAACTACTGTGCAATTGTACTCATTTCATGTGCTAGTAAGATAATACTCAGAATCCTTCAAGCTAGGCTTCAGCAGTATGTGAATCAAGATTTATGTACAAGCTGGGTTTAGAAAAGGCAAAACCAGAGATCAAATTGCCAACTTTCATTGGATCATAAAGAAAGAAGGGAATTCCGGAGGGAAAAAAATCTACTTTTCTGTTTCATTGACTACACTAATGCCTTTGACTGTGTAGATCACAACAAACTGAAAAATTCTTAAAGAAATGGGGATACCAGACCACCTTACCTGTCTCCTGAGAAACCTGTATGAAGGTCAAGAAGCACCAGTTAGAACCTTACATGGAACAACAGACTGGGTCAAAATTGGAAAAGGAGTACAACAAGGCTGTATATTGTCACCCTGCTTACTTAACTTCTATGCAGAGTACATCAAAGCAAAATGCCAGGCTGGATGAATCACGAGCTAGAATCCAGATTGCTGGGACAATATCAGCAACCTCAGATATGCAGATGATACCACTCTAATGGCAAAAAGTGAAGAGGAACTAAAGCACCTCTTGATCAGTGTGAAAGAGGAGAATGAAAAAGCTTGCTTAAAGCTCAACATAAAAAAACTAAGATTATAGCATCTGTTCCCATCAATCCATGGCAAATAGAAGGGGGAAAAGTGGAAGCAGTGACAGATTTTATTTTCTTAGATTCGATTCCAAAATCACTGTGGACAATGACTGCAGCCTTGAAATTAAAAGTTGCTTATTCCTGGGAAGGAAAGCTATGACAAACATAGACAGTGTATTAAAAAGCAGAGACATCACTTTGCTGATAAAGGTCCGTATAGTGAAAGCTGTGGTTTTTCCAGTGGTCATATACAGATGTGAGAGTTGGACCATAAAGAAGTCTGAGTGCCAAAGAATTGATGCTTTATAATTGTGGTACTAGAGAAGACTCTTGAGAGTCCCTTGGACTCAAACCAGTCAATCCCAAAGAAAATCAGCCCTGATTATTAATTGGAAGAACTGAAGCCGAAGCTTCAATACTTTGGCCACCTCATGCAAAGAGTCAACTCATTGGAAAAGATGCTGATGCTGGGAAAGATTAAAGGCAAAAGGAGAAGAGGGTGGCAGAGGATTGGATGGTTAAATAACATCAATTCAATGGACATGAATTTGAGCAAATTCTGGGAGATAGTGAAGGACAGGGAAGCCTGGCGTGCTGCAGTCCATGCGATCGCAAAGAGTTGAGCACAACTTAGCAACTGAACAACGAAAACAACAACAACAATGTATGTGCGTGTGTGCTCATTCACTTCAGTCGCGCCCAGCTTTTTGCCACCCCATAGCCTGCCAGCCTCCTCTGTCCACGAGATTCTCCAGGCATGAATACTGGAGTAGGTTGCCATTTCCTTCTCCAGGGGATCTTCCCGACCCAGGGTTCGAACCAGCATCTCTTTCATCTCCTGCATTGGCAGCTGAGTTCTTTACCACCAGTGCCACCTGGGAAGCCCTATACAACAGTGGATGGAGGTGTGAATATCAGTGAGTCTCGATATTGGATAAACTAGAATGGCCTAGTTGGTGAATAGCGAGGACCATTGAGTAGTTCAGCAATAGGCATGGCTGTCAACATGTTTTGGAGGCAAATTGCACAGGTATTTGAATGCCATGTAAATATTTGGATAATAGAAGAAGAGAACAACCTATTCTCTAAAGTTTAAAAGAAGTGGTTTTCAACCGTGACCTATTTGCCCCAAATGGATATTTGGCAATGACTGGATACAGTTTTGGTTGTCACATCCAGGGGTGGGAATGCTATTGATTTCTAGAGAGTAGAGCCCATAGATGTTGCTATTAAACATATACAAGGACAGGACAGTACCCACACCCAGCAAAGAATTATTCAGCCCTATGTGTCAACGGTAATGAGGTTGAAGATTTCTGATATAAGGAGATATTTCTTATGGCACTGTGAAGGATGGAATAGGGCGAGGAAGTGGAGCAAAGAGAGGCCTGTTCAGAAACTTAGAGTGAGAGACAGAACCTAATCTAGGCAGTGGCAGTGGGTTTTGCATCTTGCAAATAAACATAAGCAGCCAACTTTGATAAACTTCAATTCTAACCAGTGACCAACAGCAAATGTATTATTGTTGATCAGACAGTATTTCACAGAATTAAGAAATGAGATACTGCAGACCCACTGTTGCCTACAGATGCAAATCTGTGAGCAAGGGAACATAATGTGCTTTTTTCACAAACTCCTGGGATAATTTTTAGCAGGAGTTCCACTTCAAGTCATTGACTCTTAAATCTGTTTTTTAATAAATAATTATTGTTATATAATATATTGCCTATAATTAGTTCCAAGCTTATCTTAGTTTTTTTTTTAAATCACTTAAGTTAATCAAATTTATGTCCCCCAGTTCTGTGAAGTGGGAACATAAATCAAGCCTATTTAGGATATTGCAAAAACAAAAACATAGCTGTGTCTTCTGTTTGCAGGAAGACGGAGTATTTGTTTAAATATGCCTTGGAGTATTTGTTTAAATATGCCTTGGGGTATTTGTATAAACTGTCACATCTCTCCTATAATAAGGAGTACGTTTGCCACAGGCACACTTTGCCCCATGCTGGGGCCTTCACTAGTTCTGCCCTCACATGCCTGGTCAGCACATTCTCAGATGAATGGTTAATTCAGTTCTGCATGCTTTCACCAGGTCACTGCCCCTCAGGGAGAAATCAGACATTTTCCTTGTAGGCTTCTGGGGTATCCTATACTTTTCCACCAAGAACATGAGCCAACATATCATCAAGAGTTCTCTCTGGTTGGAGGTCTAGATTAGAGGTAACACACACACACACACATATTTTCCTGCATAACTGTTTCTAAAAGACCCTCAATGAATTAGCACATTTTTTGTCATGGAAAGCATATACAAAATATGTTGTAAAAAAGCAACTTAATGGGTTTGCACATGGGCACTGTTCCTGCAATGGAACATTGTAAACCACCCCCTGGTACAGAAAGATACCCTAGGAAGCCCTTTATTATGAGCAGCAACAAAGGATGGAGACCAAAAGGGGATGAATCTCACTGTAAATGTATGTTTCTATATATCTTATGATCCCCCAAATATGTTTTCAGTACAGCCAAGAAAACAACTACCCAAATGCTAAAAATCAAGTTCCTTTAATTCAGTCCCATTGATTGAAATGTTAGGACATCCAAGACCCATGGATGTCAGAACTAACACTATAACTGTTTCCAAAAGCCAAGTAACAACTAGGATTGTGTACCTGATACAAGAAGACTATGTCAGCCTCTTTGTACTTATCCTTCAAATCAGCTCTTTTTCAGAGACAGAAAATACTCTGTCTTATAAGCCAGCTGACTGGAGTGCACAGATGTCTGGGTCAGACGAGCTGGCTTTATTACTGGCTCTGCTAGTTGCTTGTGGTGTGACCTTGGGTAAGTCATTTCTCCCTCACTGTCGGTTTCTTCCAACATGGAGCTCAGGTAGAGCAAATGAGATACTGCACTTGAGAGCTGGATCTGTTAACTGTGAAGAAATCAGGATTTTTAGTATCTATTGGCTCATATGATTTTACTGTTACCTTTCCTAGCTGTTCTAATGAGAATCACTGAAATCACATTAGGGGAGAGGAAGTTATTGTGAGCTTAGAGACGGACAAGAATTGGCATGGGAAAATCATCAGGAAGCAGGACTACTCTCTCCATCTCTGTCTTTCACAGTCTACTTGCTTCCTTTCTTACACACGGTGCTTCAGCTTCTGATTACTCAGGCTCTATGGTGCAGTGCTCTGATAATGCACGTTCCCCTCTCTGAGTTTCCACTTATCCCTAAGTGTTGTTACCTACTTGGAACTTTCTCTACCTCAAGACGTCTCTACATTAGATCCCCATGGTTCCTGGCTTCATTTTCTCTGAGTGTTTAAGTTAAAAGTATCAAGAACAGCACTAGGATTCATCAGCTCTTCTTTGAGTGTCAGTCCATAAATCAAAGGTAATGGCTCACCTTTGCTCTGGAGTCAGGCACAAGCACTGTTCCGCTGGTCTGTTCAGTTACAGCCCACGGGTGGTGTGGGGATACTGGCTGAGGATATGGTGTCATAATAAAGATGGGCGCATGTGGGCAGATAGGCACTGACTGAGATCTCTAGGAAGAACACTGGTTTGAGTACTTCCCCGTAATTCCTGTCTTTAGTACTCTTATATATGTATCTTTTCGCAGTTTGCTCAGTTCAGTTCAGTTCAGTCGCTCTGTCGTGTCCGACTCTTTGTGACCCCATGAATCGCAGCATGCCAGGCCTCCCTGTCCATCACCAACTCCCAGTGTCTACCCAAACCCATGTCCATTGAGTTGATGATGCCATCTAGCCATCTCATCCTCTGTCGTCCCCTTCTCCTCCTGCCCTCAATCTTTCCCAGCATTAGGGTCTTTTCCAATGAGTCAACTCTTTGCATGAGATGGCCAAAGTATTGGAGTTTCAGCTTAAACATCAGTCCTTCCAATGAACACCCAGGACTGATCTCCTTTAGGATGGACTGGTTGGATCTCCTTGCAGTCCAAAGGACTCTCAAAAGTCTTCTCCAACACCACAGTTCAAAAGCATCAATTTTTCAGTGCTCAGCTTTCTTCACAGTCCAACTTTTGTAGTCCAAGGGACTCTCAAAAGTCTTCTCCAACACCACAGTTCAAAAGCATCAATTTTTCAGTGCTCAGCTTTCTTCACAGTCCAACTCTCACATCCGTACATGACCACTGGAAAAACCAGAATCTTGACCAGATAGACCTTTGTTGGCAAAGTAATGTCTCTGCTTTTTAATATGCTATCTAGGTTGGTCATCACTTTCCTTCCAAGGAGTAAGCGTCTTTTAATTTCTTGGCTGCAGTCACCATCTGCAGTGATTTTGGAGCCCCCAAAAATAAAGTCTGAACCTGTTTCCACTATTTCCCCATCTATTTCCCATGAAGTGTTGGGACCAGATGTCATGATCTTAGTTTTTTGAATGTTGAGCTTTAAGCCAACTTTTTCACTATCCTCCTTCACTTTCATCAAGAGGCTTTTTAGTTCCTCTTCACTTTCTGCCGTAAGGGTGGTGTCGTCTGCATATTTGTTACCGTCCTATTATGTTAAGCGTTACAGGGAACATAGATATCTAGGGATGTGGTTTTGAGGAATGAGTCATAGTTTAAGTGATACCCAGTCTAAAACAAAGCCACCACTCACTCAGATGAAGGACCAGAATCAGGTTTCATTTTTCTCTGCTCTTTATGATGTTATGTAGTCATTGTAAATTGTTGCCATGACCTGCAGCCAAACCATCCTTGCAAAGTCACTTTCAAGGGAGAACTTTCCCAGTAAGTCAAGGTAGACCTCATATGATCAATAATATGAGGTGGGAGACACAGGATGGGGATTAATTTTAAAACTAATTTTGAGGAATGTCCCAGAATACTCAAAATGTCTCATGAACTTTGAAGCATGGGTGTCATTCTGAGAAAATAAAGTAGCTGAAAAGCCTATGAAGAAGACAGAAACTAGCAGTGATTCCTAAGGCCTGAGTCTCTACACCTGCAGTCTTGCTGATAGTCTAATATCCAATAATGGAAGAAAAAGAATACCAAGATTACTTCTAGAAACATATTTGTTACCATTCCAAACAGCTTTGGCATTTCCTGTTAGGAAATGTTATTTATATTAGCTGCCCTCAGTATAGCTTTTTTCACTGTCTAGTTTGTGATTCTGTTAGAAATGTGGCAGACCTAGCATTCCCAGAGAAATGAGTCCTCTTTCTCTTCATCGTTACATGACATCAAATGCATGTAACCAAATCAACTAAAGTGATGACTGGGTAATACCAAGAGACTAATTTATTTGGTCAACTATTTGGCTGAATGCTCTGTGTGCCTAAGAATCTATTGGGTAATAAATCATCATTTTACTCTTTCATACAGTCTCTTTCATATGTTGACTCTTAGTCTTTTGGAACACAGAGACTTTATACTTTGGCTAAGACTAACTTCTTAGAACTTGATAACTTAGTGATAATATTATTTTTAAAGCATACTTCTGATTATTTAAGATAATTCATTATTTATTAGGCAAACAGACTGCGTGCTAAATATGCCAGATATGGTACTGATTGCTGAGGAGTCAGATGAGAGACATAGCCCTCACCCTTAAGGTACTTATAATCTAGACAAGGGAATAAACAGAAAGCTTTAGGAGATAGTAGAAAAGTTCTGAGGTCGAGCACAGGTTGGTCTATAGAGAATATTTCTATTCATAGCTCACATTTCATGTAAATAATCTTAATTTCTAAATAACATAACTCATAGGTGACAGGTTTTGGTGTCACTTGAGACATGCATAAAACTCCATAGGCAGTGCTCTAAAGGAAACTGCAGAAATGCAGAAATGTCCAAAAGCACCATTGTGATGTCGCCTTTTATTAGTTCACAAGAGGAGATGTAATTATTCTGCTAAGTCTTTGTTTGCTATTTGAGAGCAACAAATTAAACCCCACTAATCTACCTCTCTGGATGGTACTTATTGAACCTAAGAGGCTTCAATTATCAACAGCTTAATAAACTTACTAATCTGCATTAAATGAAATCCTTTGCAAAATCACATTGAAACAATGCTTAAGTCATAATCAGCCTGCCTGGTATCTACAGCCTACTGTGGCTGAGCCCCAGAATGCACTGTGTAATCAAATTCCATGTTACTCAAATCTTGGAAAATTCCTATTAGGTGATTGTACACAGTTTGTGTGTGTGTGCGTGTGTGTGTGTTTTGTCACATGAATTCATACAGTTCCTTTTTTAATCCAGAGAAAATTGACATTTAGGTATAAGTCAAACAAGAATGTAATTTAAAACTGCTTAAGTTCAGCCACCTACTACCATAAAAAGAAAGCTTAAAAAGAATGTTCTATTCTGCATACAGCAAGCCAGCATTCTGTGTAACAAGTCTTCATATGACATTCAAAGAATATAAGATTGTTATGTTTTCAATCCAGACCACAGTACCTTGTGAGGGAATAAAGCAGTATCCTTTAGGTTTTCAAATGGAGAAATGGAGGCAATAGAATGTTTCATCCCCAGTCATTGATGGGAACACCAGCTGGCTACCATTCCATCCCTCTATTTCTACAGTCCAGACAAGGGAGGACTCTTAGAACAGAATCACTAATTGAGTGGTTTAGGATTCACATAGGTTTTCTCCAAGTGACTAGTATTGATGCCTGGCACAGGAGCTCAAGTTGATAGTAACAATGCCATGAGGAACTCATCAGTTAGCCCTTAAATGTTAAATGGTGAACAGCACAGTACAGATGAGGGAAGGATTCATGCACCTAAAAACACAAAGAAAGGGATCCATAGAATTAATTGAACAAAGTGTTTCAGGTTTTTGTCCTCAATTTTATGGACTAATTAATCATTTAAACCTGTCCAAGGCACACACATGCAAAAGCTTACTAAAATCCATCCATTTAGAATTCTGCTGGCACAGTTTTTTTTTTTGTTTTTTGTCTTTACAGTGTAAAATGCAGAATTTTCTATCTGGGTATAACAGAATCTAGCAAGGACTGTCATTTAAAAACTACCTAGGTATTAAAACTTCTGACCTTCTCTATTATTTTGAATTATGCTGATGAAAAATATTTTTCAGATCATCTCCATCAGCGTGTATTTTCTAAGACTTGAAAAATTTTGAGCAGAGGGAAGGTATAACATGTCTAAATTCAGTGGAAAAACATAATTAATGGGAAATCATACTGTTTAACAAATGGCTGGTTTTAAATAATGACATCTACTGACACTAAGAAAAGACTGCATACCCTCAAAATAGCACTTGACAATCAAGAACTTTTCTAAGATTTTATCCTTAGACTACAGAATATTAATTGAAGATCCAAGCATTCAAGAATGATCTGTGGACCCATTGTCCTGAAAATGCGCTAACAAACTACAATACCAACAAAAAGAAGGGTGCAGATATATTACATTTTTATTTATTTATTTATTTTCAGTACTTACCAGCATGTTTTTGCAATACAAAATAGGTAAAAGTAGGACTTGGTGTGTGCCTACCAGGTTCCAACTGAAAAATAGTGTGTGTGTGTATGTGGCATGGGCTTCCCAGATGGCACTAGTGGTAAAGAAACTGCCTGCCAATGCAGGAGACATAAGAGATGGGGGCTCGATCCCTGGGTTGGGAAGATCCCTTGGAGGAGGGCATGGTAACCCACCCCAGTATTTTTGCCTGGAGAATCCCCATGGACAGAGGAGACTGGGGGGTTCCAGTCCATAGGGTTGCATATGTGTGTTTATGCACACATACACGGTGTGTGTGGGTGTGTGATCAGTCAATTCACTGGCAGTTCTTTAAAACTGACAGTTGCCAATGTTTCAAGACATGACAGTTCTACTGGGGGCTGAATATGTTAGGAATCTAGAGAGCAAGGCATTTAATTAATGAACATGTAAAAGAATGTTCCACCCACAGTTGAAGGATCACTTTTCTTGGT